AATGAGTGCAGCAAATAGAAATATCATCACCCAAATTCTCTTATGACCATTAGGCAAAAGGTTAGTAATTGATAGTTGTCTGATGGTTAGTATTTGGTTATATTTTCTTTAACAAATATTGAGAAGCTGTTGACAAATTTAACAGTGATAAAGCTGACAGAAAAAAAAAATTAAACTTTGAGAATTTAAAAAAAAATTTTAAAATAAAGGCAGGCAAAGAATCTGTGAAAACTGTTAATTTAATAAGGTCTGTCTATGAATGCAATAACAGAGCAGAAATTAATGACAAATCAAAATCACTGTTTTTATTCAGTGTATTTTCAAAAATCGTTTCATATCAAACCAAATTGTTCTTTTTTTTTTACAAAAAAGAAATATTCAGATTAGACTGATACCATAAACATTCCTTTTTTTTGAACTTCTTAGACGTTCTTATGTAACCGGAGATAATGTTGTCAAAATAATTAGACGATCATTCGACATGTTTTAAATAGTTAAGAAACAAAATTATTGAGAAGAAAAAAAACAAAACAAAACAAAGCAAAACAAAGAGATGAGAAGGTAAAGTTGTAAAAACAAAACAAAAAAAAAAACTTTGTTCTATTACTGGTCAATTTTGTTTTTTTTTGGTGATACTGTTAAATTATAACAGTTACATTTGACAACAACATAGAAAGCAAATGACATTAAAAGTTTGGATTACAGTTAATAAGCATAAATATTAAACAACAGTTTAGAATCCTTTCAGAAGTGTTCCCTTTTTTTTTTTTGGTACTTCAAAACGATTCAAGGCACTTTTTGTTGTCGTTTTGATGCCTTAATTCAACATTCACAAAATGTTAGTTGGTACCTTTTTTTTGGAAAAAGGATTGCATAGATAATTATAAAGTCTAAAAGCATAGCAAATTTTTACATAACACTTTTTCTTAGCATTAAATTTTTTTTTTTTGCTGCATTATCAGTGCGTTGATTTCAATTCAATCTTTTAGCACCAAAAACAAACCTTTTTGTTCTAAAACTTCTAAACTGCTGTGGTTGTTGTTACTGTTTTGAACTTTTGAATACACATTTTTTATGCATATGCCGTTAAAAAACTTCTTTTTTTTTTTAATTTTTGAAGTTAAGAAAAACCATAAAAAATTTATTAAGTTTTATAATACTGTAAAACTTTTTCAACTATAAAATAACAACAAAAAAAGAAAACCAAATATTATGTAGAAAAAAAAAAAAAAAAAGTTCTTGTGAAAAGTTTTTAAGCATTTTTTTTTTTGCCAGCAAAAAACTTCAATTATTTGGTACTGAATGAAGTACCCAACTGTTATGCCTTCTGAAGGGTGCACTTTACAAAACGACATTGTAACTTTGGCAAACCTTACTTCAACTATTTGTTAGACCGTTGAATTTAAGAACGAAATATTTGTCAGTTAGTTGGCTGTTCAGCCTAAAAATACCAAAAATGTAACACCATTTTCTTTCCTTTTTTTTTTTTTTGAACAACAATTTTTACATTATCCACTTTTTTTTTGCGCTACTGTTTTTTCCCGGTGGTCGTTGGTAATGAATCATTCCAAACAAAAAAAACTTCCACTACTTCAAACCAATTTAACAAATGACAGAAAAAAAAGTTTCTACTTTAAATTGAAAAGAGGGCACTAATTAGCCAAAGTGTTGCTGTTTATTACACTTAGTAAACTGACTATAGAAAAGGCATAATCAAAAATTTTTTAACTAACATTTTTTCCACAGTAATGTTAAAGTAGACATCTGTTATCACGAAGGAAATTATGTTTGATACCAGTTTTTTTTTGCTGCAGCAACAGATTTGTGATCACAAAAACAAAGAACCATACTTTTGAGCAGAATTGAATTTAGAAAATAAAAGACGAAAGATGGGAAGATAAGTTAAGTGTTACGGAAAGGGTAAGATAAACCGTCGAAAAAAAGGTAGAAACTTTGAATTTTAGAGCAAATTTAGACGAGGTGTTCTTTATTATTTTCATGTCGCTCATATAAGTATCAGAGATCAGGTAAACCACAAATTTGTTTGATGTAACAACTTGTAGCTAAGATATCTGCAGTTTATAGCCAAAAAAAACAGTGTCAACAAAATACTTTATATGAAACTTATATTTATCCAAAAAATCAGTAACAACAACAAATCAAATTTTTGTTCCACCACTGTGTTTCAACACTCAGAAAAAAACGGCGAACAAAATATGTTCCTTCTTTGCTCAAATCAGCAAAAATAAATTGTTCTTATTATCACAATTCTGTAATCAGTTCTCCTGTGAGATTCAATACCAATTTTTTTTTTTTTTT